CACATACTGTTTTTTTCCCCACAGGATGTCTCTGCCCCATTCGTTTATCAAGATGGATGGTACTTGGGTATGAGGCATCTGTTCAATATTTCTTTCTGTCTTCATCTCAGTGTGTGGTCCTATGTCTTGTTTACTGGTCACCATCCAACTCTGATCGTATATGAAATTATACATTTACATTGATGTTTTGTGGTGCTTGTCCACTGTAGCGTCTGAGTGCATCACAAATATTTAATGAATTTATCTTCATAATGCCTGTGAAAGATAAGAACATTATCCCCATTTTATAGATGAGGAGACTAAGACAAATACAAAGTGAGTAGCCTGATGGCACACAGTGCAAATGACAGAGCCAGAATTAAAATTCAAGACTTCCAGGCGTGGACTCATTCCACCAGACTATACTGCCTTACTAGCAGACGTGCTGAGCATTCAGAGCTTCCATTGACTTCATTTTGAGTTGTGAGTGCTCAGCACTTTGCAAGTTAGGCCTCAGGTGTCTCAGACTGGACAACCAGAAAATAAGGAACATGTAATTAGTGGCCACCAACCAAAATTTTGGCTTGTGAGTTGCCCAGTATCCTATAAAAAATCAGTGGTAGAAGCAGGGTAAGAACAGATTTCTCCTGTGTGGCACTCCTCTCCCTTAATAGTAAATTCCAACTTCCTAGTATTATCAGTGGGGTGTAAACCATGAATCTTCAACACTGCAGGACATACTTCTACCATTTGAGCTACAGGACTTAGCCTTCTCCTGCTGGCTAACATAATTATCCTCTAAAAAGAAAAGGAGTACTTGTGGCACCTTAGAGACTAACAAATTTATTTGAGCATAAGCTTTCGTGAGCTACAGCTCACTTCATCGGATGCATTCCGTGGAAAATACAGTGGGGAGATTTATATACACAGAGAACATGAAACAATGGGTGTTACCATACACACTGTAACGAGAGTGATCACGTAAGGTGAGCTATTACCGCATGGCCCCACAATATGCCAACATTTTTATGGCTGACTTAGAACAACGCTTCCTCAGCTCTCATCCCCTAATGCCCCTACTCTACTTGCGCTACATTGATGACATCTTCATCATCTGGATCCATGGAAAAGAAGCCCTTGAGGAATTCCACCATGATTTCAACAATTTCCATACCACCATCAACCTCAGCCTGGACCAGTCCACACAAGAGATCCACTTCCTGGACACTACGGTGCTAATAAGCGATGGTCACGTAAACACCACCCTATACCGGAAACCTACTGACCCTTATTCCTACCTACATGCCTCCAGCTTTCATCCAGACCACACCACACAATCCATTGTCTACAGCCAAGCTCTACGATACAACCTCATTTGCTCCAACCCCTCAGACAGAGACAAACTCCTAGAAGATCTCTATCAAGCATTCTTACAACTACAATACCCACCTGCTGAAGTGAAGAAACAGATTGATAGAGCCAGAAGAGTACCCAGAAGTCATCTACTACAGGACAGGCCCAACAAAGAAAATAACAGAACACCACTAGCTGTCACCTTCAGCCCCCAACTAAAACCTCTCCAACGCATCATCGAGGATCTACAACCTATCCTGAAGGACGACCCATCACTCTTACAGATCTTGGGAGACAGGCCAGTCCTTGCTTACAGACAGCCCCCCAATGTGAAGCAAATACAACCACACATCACACAACGGAACCAGTAACCCAGGAACCTATCCTTGCAACAAAGCCCGTTGCCAACTGTGTCCACGTATCTATTCAGGGGACACCATCATAGGGCCTAATCATATCAGCCACACTATCAGAGGCTCATTCACCTGCACATCTACCAGTGTGATATATGCCATCATGTGCCAGCAGTGCCCCTCTGCCATGTACATTGGTCAAACTGGACAGTCTCTATGTAAAAGAATAAATGGACACAAATCAGACGTCAAGAATTATAACATTCACAAACCAGTCGGAGAACACTTCAATCTCTTTGGTCACTCGATTACAGACCTAAAAGTGGCAATTCTTCAACAAAAAAACTTCAAAAACAGACTCCAAGGAAATTGGAAATGCTGAAATGGAATTAATTTGCAAACTGGATACAATTAACTTAGGCTTGAATAAAGACTGGGAGTGGATGGGTCATTACACAAAGTAAAACTATTTCCCCATATTTATTCCTCCCCCCCCTTCCCCCCCCGTTCCTCAGACATTCTTGTCAACTGCTGGAAATGGCCGACCTTGATTATCACTACAAAAGGTCCCCCCTCCCCGTCCCCCCCTGCTGGTAATAGCTCACCTTACCTTATCACTCTTGTTACAGTGTGTATGGTAATGCCCATTGTTTCATGTTCTCTGTGTATATAAATCTCCCCACTGTATTTTCCACAGAATGCATCCGATGAAGTGAGCTGTAGTTCATGAAAGCTTATGCTCAAACAAATGTGTTAGTTTCTAAGGTGCCATAAGTACTCCTTTTCTTTTTGCGGATACAGACTAACACGGCTGCTGCTCTGAAACCTATAATTATCCTCTGTGAACTATTCGTAGGAAATAGTATGTGATCAGTGTATCAGTGTTCCCTTTTAACAGACAGCATATCCAAGGACAAAGATAGGGCAGACTCTTTCCGTGAGTCAATGTGGCTAAGACCATGGTATTTGGGTTTGATATATTAAAGAGCTGAGTTCTCTTCCCTTAACTATATAACCTCTCAGTGATTGCTTAATAAAGGACGTGAAAGGGTACAGAATTAACAACAGTCACCAGAAGTGAAGTTTAGAACTTATGCTCCCCTGGTTCCCTATTATTAATTTATTATTTGCCTTTTCTCTGATCCATGGTTTCTTGCCACACCCCTGCGGGGGGCGGGTAGAGGTGGTGCTCCTGGCCACTGTGGTGTCTTGGAGCCCAGCCTGTCTGTCTCTGTTGGTCCACTGCTGCAACAGCAGCATCTAGATTGAATCTCTGCTCCTGGGGGGTCTCAGTGCAGGCAATGCTGTAGCTGGGGCAGGGGAGCAAAATTAAACATTAATACTACACTCCAGAGATGGGAAATGGTGATTTTCAACACCTTATAGCTCAACAAAATCAGAGTGGAATTTTATAGGCTAAGCAAAAGGCTTCTCTATGCTGGTGGGAATTTTTCCTCTGCTAAAGAATGAAGTCCTATTGCAAATAATGTAGGTGTTAGAACTTCTCAAATAAGGGTTGCAAGATTTAAAGATAAAGATTGCTATCGGCATCCCCTCAAAGAAGCTGCTTTTATGGTGCGTTATTTGTTTTCTGCCATTTAGTCATTGTTGTCTTTATTCCAGTTTTTATATTCTTGGGGCAGGGACCATCTTTGCATATTTGGAAAGTACCTAGCACATAGTGGGTACTACTGGAATAAAAATAACATTCTGTACAATACAATTATTTGGCAGAGTCTCTGTATTTGCCCTTGGTTCTTCCAGGTCTCCTTCTTTCGTTGAACATCTTGGAAAGATTTTTTTTCTTTTGTAACAAGTTACTGCATTTCCTCATAACAATAATACAGGAAACACGCATGTAAGTTGTGTGCCAGAGGCAGTTAGGGAAAATTCAGTTAGGGAGCCGCGATTGGCCAAACCTGCGGACACGGCAGATAAACAAACGGGCCCAGCCCACCAGGGGCTTTCCCTGAACAAGCGGTGGACCAGAGTTGAGAACCACTGGTCTAGAGATTGAGACATAAATTCCAGATTGCTAAATCTTGCTCTGACACAGGCTCCCATTGTGGTCTTTGTCAAATCAGTTCACCATTCTGCCTCAGTTACCCTATCAGCAATATAAGACCTACCTACCTGACAGAGTTTTAAATAATCTTTGCATATCTTTTGAAAGCACTATATAAATCAGCTTTGCAAATTCTGCTTGCTTGTTTATATGAAGGCAAGGAACCTTTTTGACTAGCAAATAAAATACAATCTTTTTCATTACCATTTTTATGGAAAGGCTGAGTGAATATTACTTTTTGTCTGAGCTGGGAAATGTTCATGACTTTAAGGCTTATACAAGTATTTATTTATTAGGTAAATTACAGTAACAATTTAGATTTGTGTACACTGCAGCACAGTGAACTTTGGGTATGGCATTGTTTTGGTTGCCTGCATTTCTCTCGTATTTAATATCATAGTGATACATACATGTAACATCTAAGGACCTGCTGTTCATTTTTGAAGATGAATACAGAGCAGAGGGACAGATAGATACACTATAACAGATCTGTTTTTTCTCCAGCTACCTATTTGTATCCTATAGCAACTTACAAAGTGGTGTAGAGCAGTTCAGCTTGCTGCCATTTGTATTCTCTAGGCAGCTCTGTGGAACACTCTAGCAACCAGAGTGCATGCCCTTTACATATCTAGAGAAATATCACACAGGTATTTGTCATCTTCCCCTTTGCACATTGTGAGCCTCTGGAGGAGCCTCTGTGAGCAATGTCATCCAATCATGTTTTTTCAGCTACTTTCAGCCTCTGTGTAGGGAGATCTTCATCATAGGTAACTAGGTGGTTGCTACTCTGGGGGTGGAAAATATGGAAAGGAGCATTATCAACACAGATGCTCACAACAGCGTGTTAAACATAAACCAGATTGCTGTTTTTATTAATCTTCTTTAATCGTTCTATCTTCTATGTAAAGACAATTGCCTTTCAAAAAACAGAGGATTCACTCACCAGCAAGGTAGTAGAGATTTTGAGTACATCTGTTTTACAGTTTATTTTGGATATTTTTATTTTGGTAGTCAAAGACCAAGTTTCTATTGTGTCTGTGTAACTGGGCTAGAGTTCTGTTCACTAGACTGCAGCTTGTTGTCTATGATGTGAAAGGAAGATTGAAGGGCTGGGAACATCAGAAGGCTGTAGAAGGGTAGAATTCTGCTGCATTAGAAAGAGAGAAGGTTCTGATAACTTTCCCTGGCATCCGTGGAGTGGAGTGAAATATCATTGTTTTCACTCTTTCCTCCTTGTTCTTCTGTTATAGGAGATGCATCGTCGGTTTGAAAATGCCCCTGACTCAGCCAAGACAAAAGCTCTACAAACTGTTATTGAGATGAAGGTAAGAGAGTCCACATTGGCAGATGGGGGATCCTATTTTTTTCAATGGAATATGGTGTCTTTCAGATAGCATAAAGCATGAGAAGTCTGATAACAGCAAATACAATGCATGGTCCAGTATTACTAATGAAAAAAAGCTTTGAGATTTTCATTGATCAGGCAGGTTAGAGAACTAGTTCATGGCATGATAGAAGTCTGCTTTTCATCTTCCTGGAATGTGATTTATAGTTTACAGCCAATAATCCATTGTATTATAAGGACAGTATGAGGAGATAAGTGGATGCTTTTAATGGTGGTGTGAATTCTTTCCCATCACAGTATTTTCTGAACTTTTGAAGGGGTATTGGTGATACACACAGTGCAAAACAACATTAGATATTCGCATTCCAAAACACCTTATGTGAAGCAGGTGATTCAGCCAGAAAGATTCATCAATAACACCTTTATCCTGAATTATAGCTAGATGCAGTTTTGTGGTTTGGTCTTTAAACTAGTGATGCAGGATTTAGAGCAATATAGACAACTTGTAGGAGCGTGACAAGGGGTAGGTACACCCTGTGATGGGGTGTCAGGTCACATGTGGTCAAAAGAAAGGTCAGAGGCGGTCCCACAACCGGTTAGGTCCTATGTTGATGACCCTTACTGTAAAATGTGGTCATATTGCCTAGTAACTGGAGTCAATGAAGTTGCACTTCCACACGGCAGCGGGGCCCAATGGCTAGAGTCAATAGAGTGACCCTTTCGTTCAGGGAAGAGTAACCGAATGGCTGGAGTCAATAAAGTGGCCCTTCCACTCAGGGTAGTGCGGCTTATTGGCTCATTGGGGTAGCGGGGTGCCACCAAGGGGGGTGTGGTGCCCAGGGTAGGGGGACTTGACAATCCTGCTACTACAGGTCCTCCCAGCTCCTCCGAGTCCCTGTGTAGGGCCCTGGCAGTGGTGAGGGGAGCTTACCACTGAGTCAGTGGGGTTACTCCCAAAACACTGTGACTGGTTCCCCAGTTCACTCATAGGAGGAAAGTTGAAGTCCCGTGGGCTGCTTCTTACCCTTTCTCCTTTGGCGAAGCTCAATGGTTTCCCTGGGTCTCTGGGGTCCTCAAGGGGTGTACCCTTCTGTTAGCGTGGTCTCTTCTCTGGGCTCATCAGGCAGACTGGTGTCTGTCTGGAACTCTGTGTGCTGTGGCTCTATAGTTGGGGCCTGTAGCCGCTCCCTGGTAAGAGTCTGTATCCTCCCCCTTCAGCAGCCTGCCCAGATTGAGCTGGGCTGCTTCGTTTTATACTCTGCCTTCAGGCTAAGCATGCCCACCAGAGTCGGAGGGGCAGGGCTTCCTCAGCCTGCAACAGTTAACCCTTTCAGGGCTGGTGCGGGGTAGGTACACCCCATCAGAGAGCCCAAGGACCACAAATGGATTGCATATATATTTACACAACTTCATGTAGTTGTATGCCAGATTGTATGTTCCATAATGTGCATGAAACGTGCAGTATAAATAAATATTTTCTCTTCCTACTCATCTTTGCATTCACACTCTTCCTTTTCACCACTTCCCACTCTTGTTCTCCAGTATTAACTTTCTCTGTAGCCATTTCTCTCTTTTCCATTTTGGAGTCTCCCAATACCTTCCCCATGCTTCCTAACAGGCTAGCCAGTTTTCCTTTTGAAAACATATAGCTGGTCTTTTCCCCTTTCTCTCTCAGATTGTTAGCTGCAGTGCATGCCTCAATAACCCCCTTTTTTACACTTTGAGATGTGCATGAATCAAATTCTATTGCATATATTATGCAAGAGATCAGACTGCATGATCATAGTCCCTTCTAGCCTTATCAATCTGTGCATCTAGCTGGGGAAAATAACAAGTAAAAGAAGTATGTGGTGAGCATAGGGTAGAAAGGTGGGTAGTGTCAAACCCTACAGTTTTTCCGGGGAATGAGTTTGCTAGTAGTCCTTGGAGAAACTGAGTAGGACAGACACGTCTGCTTTTAGAGGATGCATTTTATAAATTAATAGGTATGTGTGTAATAGTGAGCATAAGGGCTCTGTGTTCTGTGTGCATCAATTCCTTTTCAAGTGATTGCATGTGTCCATTCCATTTCAGGTGTGTGTGTGCATGTCATGTGCACTGTTGTCAGAGATTTTTCCCTCAGCTGTAACCCATTGAGACAGTGCATGTGCCCTCTGCTGCCTCGTGCTGCTGCACAATGGTATAAAGGGCACCCCCCAATGCCCCATAATTTCTTCTGACTACCCCATAATGGTTGTTGAAGTGTGTGATCTTGCTATTGCAAGTCTTTTCCTCATTTTGTGTTTTGTATATATTTGGTACTTGTTTTAGTACATTAGTAGCAATAATGTTAGGTACTGTAATTACAAAAGTAAGTTTCATTTTAAAGTGTTTTTGGTTTTTTTTTTAAAACACTTCAGTTTCTGTTCCTGGGTGACTGGTGCTGGCGCATATCTAGATCATCGGGCTTCAAGCCCTGCCATTCTTGCAAAAAAAAACTATGCCCGTGAATGACCCACACTCCAGTTGCCTGAAGTGATTTTGGGATACTCACATTCACAATTGATGCCAAATTTGCAGGAGTTTTAAACCAAGTACCAAGAAGAGGCCAGGTTTAAGTTTCTGTGATGGAGGCAGTCCTGTGCACACCCTTGGAGCCTTCCCGCTCAGAGTAGGTACCAAACACATTGGAATCCATCAGAAGTGCGCCTCCTGGTCTTGCTGATCCTCCTGGCCATTCTCCCTCCTGGGTACTGAACAAGAGGCACCAGAAGATGGTGTCTAAGGACTCAATATCCGGGAGATCAAGGTCCCCTGGCTCAAATTCCAGCAGCAAGCGTGTGAACAAAGACTGTAGTGTGTGTTCAAGACCAAGGCACTCTCTGAAGCAGTCAACTGCTCAGGCAGGACTGTTGGCACTAGCCCTGGCCCTTTGAGACTGGCCAGTAAGTGGCTCCTTCTAGTGCAACGGTGCTGCCCTTGATGTCTCAGCACTAAGACTTTCCCAGTACAGTTGACTTCAGAGCCTTATACAGTGGCTAGGGATCCTTCTGAGTCTCTTGGTACCAGTTTCATTGGCCATGCTAGAGACTTCTCGCCCAGCACAGACAGTTGCTACTGTAGCCTTATTGGTGGCTTTGTCCTAGCATGTGCTACCGTGGACTCGCATGTGCCTTTTCATGCGGTGCTATCCAGAGGGAAGTCAGCTGTGTTCTCTCCAGGGCCACCTTTTCCAAGTTCCTGACATCAATCCCAACATCCAGGAACAATCCTCCACTTGGTCGGAGGAGGCTGATTCATCTTTTGATTCAGAGTTGGCTTATACATTTCACAGTAACATCATGTACCTCACCATTCTCCTTTGAGTGCCTACCACCGTTGGTATCCTCTAAAGCCTCTGTCATGGCCACCAATCGGGGACCCATGGCCAGGAAGAAATTGGACCGTGCCCTCTCAGTTCCTTCTTACCACCCGTGACAGTTGCTGGAATGACCCCTCTTGCTATAGCATTGCTTCTTTCCCAGTGGCTTGGACTTTCTCTCTTCATATTTTATATAGTTATTGTAGTTAGTGTATACAGTAATGTTAGTAGTTGTCCCCGTTGTCAAGGGACTTTTCGCCCCAGGGGCTGGGCATGCCTTGGTCCCTGGAGTTCAAGCCATGTGCTTCGTGCAGCAAGCGGATGCCATTTAGTTACCCTCACACTAGCCATCTAAAGTGTCTGGGGGAGTTCATGTTAAAGAGAAGTGCCAGATCTGCCGGGATTTCAAACCCTGCACGAGAAAGGATAGAGACATTCAGCTGAAGGCCATTCTTATGGAGGCAGCCCTCAAACCAGCCTCGGAGCTGAACTGCTCTGAATCGACACTGAGCATTTCGATACCTGTGCAAGAGCACTCCTTTGGTATTATGCTCTTCCCGGCACTGCTCTCCATCCCCAGTGCCAAGGAAGAGGCATAAAAAACAATGCACCAAGATAGGGTGTTCTCCAGTGCAGTGGAGAGACAAGTGGGGTGCAACCCCTGTCCCTCTTCAGGGACCTTTCTCAAGAGCAGATTCTCATCCAAGAGGTGGAAGCCCTCCTACATCTTGGGGCCATAGAGGAGGTTCCTCGAGATTTGAGAGGAAAGAGGTTTTACTCCCGATATTTCCTAATCCCAAAGGGGGGAGGTGGCTACGGCCCATCCTGGACCTGTGTCGCCTCAACATATATATCAAGAAACTGAGGTTCAGCATGGTCTCCCTGGCCTCTGACATTCCCTTCCTGGATCCAGGAGACTGCTGCCCTCGACCTAAAGGATGCTTATTTCCACAACTCTCTCTTCCGCGATCACAGAGTATTTCTCAGGTTTGTAGTGGGTCAACGCAACTTCCAATTCACCACTCTTCCTTTTGGCTTATCGGCAGCCCCACAGGTCTTCACGAAGTGTATGGTAGTGGTAGCAGCCTTCTTCAGGTGTCAAGGTATGCAGGTCTACCCATATTATAGAAGAAGGTCCATCCATATCAGAGAAGAAGAAGATCAAAGGTCAGGCACATGTCCAACACAGCATCAGTACTGTATGGGCCACCTTCCAAGTGCTGGGTCTGTTGATAAATGAGCAGAAGTCAACCCTAGTCCTGGTTCAGAGAATAGAGTTCATCGGGCAGTGTTTGACTTGACCCAGGCCAAAGCTTACCTACTGGAAGCCCGATTTTGAGCTATGTCAAACCTGATTTCCAAGGTCACGGTCCACCCAATAATGACTGCTAGGGTCTGCCTTAAACTATTGGGACACATGGAAGCAAGTACATACATGGTGCGGTATGCAAGGCTGTGCCTCAGACCCTTCCAGATCTGTCTGGCATCAGTCTACTCCCCAAGCAGACCCCCCCCGGACTTAATACTCACTATTCCGCCTCCAGTCCGCACTTCGCTGACCTGGTGGAGAGACTTAGTATCTGTAATGGAAGGGGGTATCCCTTGCTGCCCCTTCAACGTCGGTAACCTTAGTCTTGGGT